GTCTTGCGCGTTTTCAGATTAATGGTTGGCGGTACTTGTAAAAACATGCTTTTACCAAGGGGCTTTACGGACCTCTGGATGTGTTTTTCCGTTTGTCTTGCAAGTAGCGTCAAACTCGCCAGTGCACGAGGCCCGTCTCGAGCGGCTCTTGGAAGCCAATGGCGGCGCAGCACTGACATGAGCGGCCTTGGAAGCGAATGTCGTCGGAACACCCGCTCGTGGCGCATGTCTTGCACGTTTCCAGAACAATGGTTGGCGGTACTTGTAAAAACATGCTTTTATCAAGGGGCTTTGCGGACCTCTGGATGTGTTTTTCCGTTTGTCTTGCAAGTAGCGTCAAACTGCGCCAGTGCACGAGGCCCGGTTCGAGCGGCTCTTGGAAGCCAATGGCGGCGCAGCACTGACATGAGCGGCCTTGGAAGCGAATGTCGTCGGAACACCCGCTCGTGGCGCATGTCTTGCGCGTTTTCAGAACAATGGTTGGCGGTACTTGTAAAAACATGCTTTTACCAAGGGGCTTTACGGACCTCTGGATGTGTTTTTCCGTTTGTCTTGCAAGTAGCGTCAAACTCGCCAGTGCACGAGGCCCGTCTCGAGCGGCTCTTGGAAGCCAGTGGCGGCGCAGCACTGAAATGAGCGGCCTTGGAAGCGAATGTCGTCGGAACACCCGCTCGTGGCGCATGTCTTGCACGTTTCCAGAACAATGGTTGGCGGTACTTGTAAAAACATGCTTTTATCAAGGGGCTTTGCGGACCTCTGGATGTGTTTTTCCGTTTGTCTTGCAAGTAGCGTCAAACTGCGCCAGTGCACGAGGCCCGTTTCGAGCGGCTCTTGGAAGCCAATGGCGGCGCAGCACTGACATGAGCGGCCTTGGAAGCGAATGTCGTCGGAACACCCGCTCGTGGCGCATGTCTTGCGCGTTTTCAGAACAATGGTTGGCGGTACTTGTAAAAACATGCTTTTACCAAGGGGCTTTACGGACCTCTGGATGTGTTTTTCCGTTTGTCTTGCAAGTAGCGTCAAACTCGCCAGTGCACGAGGCCCGTCTCGAGCGGCTCTTGGAAGCCAGTGGCGGCGCAGCACTGAAATGAGCGGCCTTGGAAGCGAATGTCGTCGGAACACCCGCTCGTGGCGCATGTCTTGCGCGTTTCCAGAACAATGGTTGGCGGTACTTGTAAAAACATGCTTTTACCAAGGGGCTTTGCGGACCTCTGGATGTGTTTTTCCGTTTGTCTTGCAAGTAGCGTCAAACTGCGCCAGTGCACGAGGCCCGTTTCGAGCGGCTCTTGGAAGCCAATGGCGGCGCAGCAATGAAATGAGCGGCCTTGGAAGCGAATGTCGTCGGAACACCCGCTCGTGGCGCATGTCTTGCGCGTTTCCAGAACAATGGTTGGCGGTACTTGTAAAAACATGCTTTTACCAAGGGGCTTTGCGGACCTCTGGATGTGTTTTTCCGTTTGTCTTGCAAGTAGCGTCAAACTGCGCCAGTGCACGAGGCCCGTTTCGAGCGGCTCTTGGAAGCCAGTGGCGGCGCAGCACTGAAATGAGCGGCCTTCGAAGCGAATGTCGTCGGAACACCCGCTCGTGGCGCATGTCTTGCGCGTTTCCAGAACAATGGTTGGCGGTACTTGTAAAAACATGCTTTTACCAAGGGGCTTTGCGGACCTCTGGATGTGTTTTTCCGTTTGTCTTGCAAGTAGCGTCAAACTGCGTCAGTGCACGAGGCCCGTTTCGAGTGGCTCTTGGAAGCCAATGGCGGCGCAGCAATGAAATGAGCGGCCTTGGAAGCGAATGTCGTCGGAACACCCGCTCGTGGCGCATGTCTTGCACGTTTCCAGAACAATGGTTGGCGGTACTTGTAAAAACATGCTTTTACCAAGGGGCTTTGCGGACCTCTGGATGTGTTTTTCCGTTTGTCTTGCAAGTAGCGTCAAACTGCGCCAGTGCACGAGGCCCGTTTCGAGCGGCTCTTGGAAGCCAATGGCGGCGCAGCACTGAAATGAGCGGCCTTCGAAGCGAATGTCGTCGGAACACCCGCTCGTGGCGCATGTCTTGCGCGTTTCCAGAACAATGGTTGGCGGTACTTGTAAAAACATGCTTTTATCAAGGGGCTTTACGGACCTCTGGATGTGTTTTTCCGTTTGTCTTGCAAGTAGCGTCAAACTCGCCAGTGCACGAGGCCCGTCTCGAGCGGCTCTTGGAAGCCAATGGCGGCGCAGCACTGAAATGAGCGGCCTTGGAAGCGAATGTCGTCGGAACACCCGCTCGTGGCGCATGTCTTGCGCGTTTCCAGAACAATGGTTGGCGGTACTTGTAAAAACATGCTTTTACCAAGGGGCTTTGCGGACCCCTGGATGTGTTTTTCCGTTTGTCTTGCAAGTAGCGTCAAACTGCGCCAGTGCACGAGGCCCGTTTCGAGCGGCTCTTGGAAGCCAATGGCGGCGCAGCAATGAAATGAGCGGCCTTGGAAGCGAATGTCGTCGGAACACCCGCTCGTGGCGCATGTCTTGCGCGTTTCCAGAACAATGGTTGGCGGTACTTGTAAAAACATGCTTTTATCAAGGGGCTTTACGGACCGCTTAATGTGTTTTTCCGTTTGTCTTGCAAGTAGCGTCAAACTGCGCCAGTGCACAAGGAATCGACCTTTTTCAGAGTTTGGCCACGATCGTGGCGCGCCCTCGCGGGAATCGCTCGAAACATTTTTGGTGGCTCCGGGAACGTCTCTCCGTCGTCCGCGCCAGGCCTGGCTTGTCTCCCGGTCCATGTGTTTGCGTGTGTTGTCTGGTGGCGTTGTTCCCTCCTTTACCAATTTGAATATGTCTTTCTATCGTCGCTTCGCGTGCATATTTTCTTCGAAATGGCTGAGAAGGACCTGGAGGATTAACAAAAGTCAATGTCAAGGATACAGAGGACCTTGTTCGTTTTTATACCTTCAGGGATGAGTAGACCGCCGACGCCGCATCGGTTCTTACTATCGACTAGGAGTCACTTCGTAGTCACTGCGGTGTCGCGTCTTGCAAGCAACTAAAAAAAGGGGGTCTGCTTTCAAAGTAAAGTCGCAGAGTGTTATGTAAGGAAAGTAATGGTGACCAGCTTGGATACCGAACCAACCATCTACCTTGCGCGGAGCTTGTGAGCTCCGTTTATGATTCCCGGCCACTACAAACAGCTGATTTTACTCTCCTTGATCGCTTAAGCTATTCAAGCTTATCGCATCCGTCACTTCTCCGTCCTGTGTACCGCGCGAGGGCACGGGACATTGCCGTATTTGGGAATGTGTAAACAAACTCGGGCAGTGCGAAATACGAGCCGTCTTGATATCGCAAAGGATTGCGTGCACCGTCAAAAAGTAAGGAACGGTATGTTAGAAACAATCCATCTTTGAATTCGGCACGTTTACGAACCTTCGACAAAGTGCGCCCAGCAAACAGATGGGTTCACGGCTGGTTGCTAAGAAGTTTCATCAAGGTTAATTGTCTCCGTAAGGCTTAAATTCGTTTCGCTCGCTTTAAATGTTTTATCAGTTTTTTGAACGTGGCAAGACGCGAATCTGTACAGCGCACGCCTGAAGAACGGAAAGCTTTATGTTGTTATTTTTAATTGAATACCGGGTACGGCATGATTACGTCGCACAACCTCGTTTGCACGTTTACTATTAACAATAAATGGTCAAAGTGCAGGCGATCTGGTGTAAGTTTAACATGATGGAAAACTTGATATATGAATACATGAAAGCTTGATGGAAGATCAAGTACAGGGGCGGAAAGAGAACTTCTATCAAGAAGTCCTGTATTCGTCCCCGTCCTTGATGTTTTATCTTTCATGTATTCGTATCTAATCACCAACACTCTCATTTTTAATTATTAAACCTGAGACTGAGGTAGGAAAAGGAAAACGGAAAGGAAAAACGGGCCACGTCTCAAGAGACGTTGCCTGTTTTTTTTCTGTGTCCTTTTGCGTGTTCCTTTTTCTACTCCAATTTCAGGTATATCATCATGTTCACATTTCTGTATTTTAGTTAAAAGCAGAATGTATCGCTGTCACATTGATGATCCAGCCACCTGACACGGGGGACTCTCGTCATAGGATTTCGAAAGCAGGGCAAAAAGGGTGGGGTGTTTGACATCGGGTGCTTTCGTGGACCACCCGCCAAAAGTGAGGTAAGATGACTATGAAGCCAAGCCGCGAGAATACCGGATGAGTCAAGCATAACCAGCACTGTCTGAGCGACCAAGCGGGCGAGAGAGCCACCAAAAATGGCGCTTTTCCCTTTCCCCTCCTCTCACAGAATCGGCGCATGCGCCCAGCGATCTCTGAAAAAGGTCAATTGCTGTTGAGGTCAGGTGGCGTCAATTTTTCCGCTAATTCGTGCGGAGAAACTGAACTACTGAACTTGTTCATAGGTGACGTGAGACGAAGTCATGTGACGTCATTTTCCACTCGAAATTTAGCGGGGAAACTGAATTGGTGTTGCGATCACGTGGCGTCCATTTTTCAGTTAAATTTAGCGGGGAAACTGTGGGAGGAGGGGAGGGTACGAAGGCGGATGAAGGGAACGCAAGGAAAAGGAGGAAGAGGAGAAGGGGAGGAGAGGCTACGGAGGAGGAGGGGACATACTCTTCCCTCCGTACCCGCCCCTCGTCCTCCTCAAGAGCTGCGCTCTAATTTCGCATTACAGATACTTGTAAATGTCTTCTTTTTTTTTCAATGGCCTTTTTTATTTCTTTTCTGCCGCTGGTGAAACACCTTGTACAAAACTTTCTGTCGGGCGGCTAAATTATGTGGTTGAGCGTATTATTTCTTGCTGTGCCAACTACACATAGGTATCGCTTCTAGTCACTGAAAAATGCTAAATTGATTTTTAATGTTTGCGGACAATTTTCTTAAGCCGGACTACGATGGTCTAAATACCCGGACATCAGCATGGCCGTCATGCAGATGTGCATTGAAACGAATGCACGATATCTGCATCCCACACAGCTCGAAACAAAAACAAAGCATTTGAGAAATGTTGCATATCGTTTATTGCTCTATAAATGTACATATCAAAATAATCGAAATGGTATTTATCTTGAAACCAGACCAGAGGTGTTTTTTTACTTCCGTCTCAAGGCTAGGCAAAGGTCACCGTGCTTAACTCTCACCAGTGCACTCGCTCCTAATCCTCCTGCTCGATCCGTACAAAAATAGCTTAAGTTATTTGCATGGCTGCAATGTCTATCCCCGCTAAAACTTTACGGTATTTTGTGCTGCCTGGTGAAACGCGGGTGCAATAATAACAAATAAAAACATCACACGAGACACACTATTGTTTAAAATTACAAACATACGTGTGTCCAAGTTCGGTTCTTTGCAGTTTCTGGGTTACTTTTTTTTTTTTTTTCGTTGCATCAACGTGACATTTTTGGTGATGAGCACCATAGTTAAGAATAGCGGGCCAAGCTCCTCCCAGAAAAGCCCTCAACTCTTACCACAAGATGGCAGAGGTCATCCTGGCGATATCTCACACTGCCTGGTGACAGTTACAAATAGGCCAACAGGAAGGAAAGTTGGCTTAAAAGAGCGGGGAAGGAATAACACTTTTAGTTCTTTTTTTTTTTATTTTATAGTTAGGTGGCGCGCGCTACCCCCCGCAATAAAGGGTACAGCCGTTAGCATTCACACCTATTCGCCACGCTCAATTTTCAACGCCGCCTAGAGAGGCAAACGCGAGTGAGGATCGGACACGAATGCCGCGTCCGCATTCGGCCGAGACTCGTTCGACTCCAATCGGCGAGGACCCGAGCCACGCGAACACGGGTCAGCGACCCGCGCTCGCGGCTCTTTTGGTGTCGGGAGAAATCCAGGCCTCGTTAGATATATATTAGGTGTCGACGCTGGAGAGGAGGCCACCACGATTCACGGCGGACAGACAGCTCTGTGGGAAGGAATAGTCCCGCTATCCTAAACCAGATCTATACACCAACAGTCTTTAGACCGCTCTGCCCACACCAGGTGTGGGCAGTGCGCGTGCGCAGAAACCAAGCGGCAAGAACAATGCATGGTCACGACGCATGTCGCCTTTGCGCGTTGTCCGTCACTGACTAAAGGCCATCGCGCGCGGCGAATGCGGCGTGAAATCTCGCAGCTTTTGTCCACGCGTGAATGGCGTAGAGGACGGTTCAAAACTTGGGTTTTCACGAAACGTCTTGTCCGAAACTTCCAACTAATGCCCTTGAAACCGCCGAAGGCCCGAAGGTACCTTTAATTCGGCAGTGCTGACTCGCACTCGTTACGTCGCAAGGAGAAAAAAAATAAAACATATCACAGACGTCGTTCTTTTTTTTGTGCGTAAACAAAGCGATGCATGGATGATAATTGGACCGCCGGACAGAGACTCATGGTGGGATAACGACCTTGGGGTAGGAGACGAGAGGACATCGCTCTCCCAGTGGCTTGCCCTTCTCGTAGTTGTAGACGTAAGGGTCCTGCGCAAGAAACAAGATGGCCGAAGGACACCGTGAGTATACGCTCGCGGCCTCCCGTGGTCGTAAAGGAGGCGCTGCAGTCACACTGCTCGTGCGTCGGACGATGGACGCGGCGTGCCATGCAGACACGATGACAGAAGCATCTGCGGACACGTGTCGAGCAGACAGCATTTTGCGCGGTAAATGTTAGAGCAGTCATACAAGGAATACAAACACGCTTCCGAGAGTGTCTGCAGGTTGTCTTTTATGTGATGCATTAGCAGTGTGAGGAGCATGGCTTAAAGGGACCATGAAGGCAGTTTCGAAGTTTTATTCGACAATTGAAATGGATGTCAGGGCACGTCTCAGATACTGTTGACCAAGTTCTAGCCCGAACAGAAGTTTGGGTGCCGCAACAATCGAGCAAACAGGCGCGGTAATAATAGCGCCAGGAACGATGCCTGAGACCCCACCGAGGCGGCGGCAGAAAGGTGAACTAAAGTGCGCCGAAGCGTGACGACAACGGGTTCCTCGTCTGGCGATTGGTTCAAACGGTAGACACGCTCTTGGTTTCGATTTCGGTGGTGAGATGTGATGAAAAATTTTTATTTGATCGTTGGATAATCTTTTGAAGTTGTAGTTGGGAATTAATAGGTTTCATACCGAAGCATAATCTGACTTTTGGTTTTGGTTTCGTGCGTCGTCTCGTGTTCGCTTTGCGAACTGGTGTCTCACCAATCATGCCGCGTTTATGTGCAGTAGTAGGTTGCGCGAAAGGTCGGCTAAAGACGTGCGGTCGATGGGGCGACGTTAGTTTGCATAAACTGCCGACCGATGCAGCAATGCGCAGCATTGCTGCATCGGTCGCCAATCCAGAGTTCTGCGTACTTAGCAGCTTCTCCCGTTCAGTCGGCGTGAGGTCGCTGAACGGGAGCTCAAACTCGTTTGCGAGCGCGGCGTTGTCGTCCATTTCTTCCAGGTTTTCTTCACAGACCGACCGCCGTGCACTAGAGCGAACCACGGGAACCACACTGAGTGTGCACTAAATCCTACTGATGCCGACAGTGCTCCCTGACGTCACTTCTCTTTCCAGAGGCGAAAAAGGGAAGAAATCTGAATGTTTGTTTCGGTTTCGCAAATTTATTTGCAGGTACAGAAATAAGAGTCACAACGTTCTAGAAAAAATTGTGTGGCATGCCAGGGCCCCAATGCTCCCGAAAACACCTCCGTTCTAAAAAAAAAAATAAATTGCCTTCATGGTTCCTTTAATGGGACACTGACAGGGTATTAATGCTCGCCAAGGTTTTGACCTGTACGTGACCTATGAGAGCCCAGCTACCCAGAACACAATTGGCGGCTACAAATTCGGTTTCTTTTTACCCGAAAACCGCCGATCGAGAACTGGCCGCTTTGTGTCGCGCTCACTCTCTTCTCCGTGGTCACGTGCCGTTTTCTATGGTTTAAACACAACCACCAAAGTTAATAGAAGTCGTCCGTTATCGAAGGCACACAATCAATACTAGAAATTATCAAAAAATAGGGTACTTTTTTTTTTTTTTTGTGGCTCGTAAGAAACTGCAATTACGTTGATTGAAAAAAAAAAAAAAAGTTGTACAGCCACGAGATTCCCGGTATCTTTCTCCTCCTCCATATTCCTTCTTCCTCCTTAGTCCAGCTTCGGTCTCGAACAGTTCCGTTTTTTTTACTTTATTAAATATATGCGTGACACTGTAGCAAAATATTGATCGGGTAGTCTTCTGACACCATACATCGCCTGTCAAAACATAAAATAAAACTGGGGGGGGGGGGGGGGGGGGTCAGTGTTCTTAGAAGCTTGACTTGTTTGGTAGCGCTATGCTCGATTCTAGCTCGAGGACCAGTAAAACAGAAATGCCCGGCTTCTTGCGGAAAGTGACCAATTTTTCCTTTCATCCGTTGAATTAAGATGGCGTATCTTAGGTTCGCTTTTTATTGTTTTCTCAACTCGCACACGTTTGAAACGCCAAAAACATCGTTGTTTTGTTTTTTTCCTTCGAAAACCAAATCTTGTTAGAACTACAATGGACTAGAACTGCAAATCTTGTTAGAACTACAATGCAGAAAATATTTCTTTTTTCGAGATGTGACCAACGAGTGATTGCAAGCGGGTCGACTGGGCGCCGCCACTAAACAAGCCCGCACAAATGCAAGCTCGCCAAAGCTAGGCGTACGCGCATGCTGCACGTGCTTGGAAGTGCGTACCTCTCCTCCCATATACTTGGCTAGATTCTGCCTGTCGACGTAATCCAGGATGCCGTCCTTGGTGGTGAACCGGATCCTCTCGACGCCCTCCGAAGGAAGCATGGTCTTGATGATCTTCCACACCGCTAGAGACCAGAAGGAGAGACCAGTGAGGAAAGAGGGACTTCTAAAGTCCCTCCACGGGCCATTCTTGCTCGTGTTGATCTCACTGCACGACATCACAGTGTCACGTGACGTGGTCACGCTGCGTGAAGTCACGGTTTCACGTGACCTGACATCGGATGACATCAGGTCAGGTAACATCGGTTTCCCCACTAAACTTAACGGGGACATCATCATAGTGTCAGGTGACACGGCGTCATGGTGTCTCGTGATATCAGAGTATCACGTGATCGGGTAAATATCTCCGCGAAATTCCGATAGAGAGTGCTATTCGCCAAAGATCCCATCAAGTACTATCGCAACTCCATTGCATGTGACAGAATGTATACATGGCTTGCACTGACGTCCCATCGCATACTTTGGACCACCATGTGAGAGATGAGGGAAGTTGCTTTTGTAAGAATTTTGAGTGAGGACAGGTCAATCTTCTATAATCTTCTGGGAGGAGAATAGCGACGGTCTGTGCAAATCCGGGAGGCACAACAGAGGATCCTGGTAAGAAGGGAGCTCCTTCTTCTCCTCTTCCCTGGTGGTCATCGGAGCGCTCTTTGAATGGCGTCACGTGCAAGCCATGTATAGGCTCCTTGCACATGACGTCATTTCCGATGCCCTCCAGAGAAAAGGGGAAGAAGGAGCTCTCTTCTTATCAGGATCCTCCTTTGTGCTTCCTGGATTAGCACAGGCGTCGCTATTCTCCTCCCAGAAGATTATAGAAGATTAACCTGTCACTCAAAATTCTTACAAAAGCAACTTTCCTCTCCTCCTTTTTCTTGGTGTGCAAAAGTATGCGATGTGACGTCAATGCAAGGAGCCTATAAGCCAGGCGAGGCTTTTTTTGGTGGTTTTTAGACAAAAACAGAGCTTCATTTTATGGTATGGAAGACGTCGCATAAAACGATCCGAAATGAAATGAATTAAACATCCCGGTGGCGTCGCGTGCGCGGGGTAAGAGAGAACGAAAATGCAAGCGTGACGTTTCGATCACGCATTTATTTATTTATTTAAAGCCGGGAAGGGCGTCTTAACGCTTCCGTCAACGTCTACTACAATAAACTGATCAGTTGTTATCGCCCTGTTTTAGTATTTCAACTTATAGTTGTTAGAAACGGGATTGGCAAGCGCCCGACTAACTCTTACCGTTGAGGATCCAAGGCATGTTATGAACGATGATGTATCCTGGAAGAAAGGCACAAGTTGCAACGGAATTAGGGCTTCCTTCCTTTAAAAGATATAAAAAAAAAGATTAATGATCCAAACACTGACAGATACACTATATCCGGCACACCTCCAGTCTGTCCTAGCTTCCAATATCGGAAATTAGTGGTAAGAGCATTTTGTCGAGAGATTTCTCTAAACGAGATCGAAATAAATGCACGATAAAAAGCGTCAGCTTTTTTTTTTTTTTTTAGTTTAATACTTATGCACACATTGAAGAGTCTATAGACCCTTTTCAGAACCCCCTAAAGTAACATCGGTGGTCGCCATTTCTTCGGCACGAAGTGCGTGACTTAAGGCCGGTTCTCACATGCAGCGAAGCGCTGATGTAGCGCTCCTCACGTGCCATCAGCTACTTATCGTATGCCATGAGCAACAGTTTCGACGGTACGATCCAAAGCTGGTGAACGCTGCCGTCAGCACGTGCTTGGCGCGAGGTTAGCGCTATGCTTGTAGCGCTCCGCTGCATGTGTGAACGGGCCTTTAGAGGCACCCTAGCGTGACTAAATTAGAGTCCTCGCCGAAACGCTTTCGTAGCACCCATTTTCAATGCCAATGCGTCCGATATATGCTCAGGGTGTGTGCCCGAACGAGGGCGGGCACTGATCACTGGCGCAGCAGGACGAGCTCCTTCCTCGAAGCCCTCCCCTCTTTCCACTTTAACACAGCAAACGCAGGAGAGGAGGCGAGACAACTGCCTCCTCTCCCTCCTCCTCACCAGCCTTCTCTCTGCATATGTAGAAAGAATGGAGGGCTTCGCGGGGGGAGCGCACTTCCTTTTTAACTCTGAATGATTTCTTGAACTTACCCAGCGCCCACGGGTAGAGATCTCTGAACACCACGATGATGAATTTAATAAGCTCCATATCCTGCAGCATAAAGATAAACCAGAAGCGTACGTCAGAGAGTTCCGCGGATATCACCAGCATTTTAACTGTCTAGTATACGTCTCCAAAGTAGGTTTATACAACTCAAAACAGAGTTTCAAAATTGGTGACCTGCAGACGCGCAGTAAGAGAATATTTTATCCTCGAGGTTTTTTTTTTTATTGGTTTAATAACAATTTATAGATATTTGGCTGGTACTGTGTCGTGTGTATGTTTATACAGCCGGAAGTTAGTCTGCCTCAGTGGGCGCCTGTTGTCTCAGCTGTAGATGAGCAATTAGGCCAGTGCGGTACAACCTCTAGCCTGGGGTCTTTAACGTGCACCACGCAGTAGTGATACACGACCTCACGCCGGTACCATGCTCATCCAGATCGAAACGGGCAGGGCTGGGGTTTGAGCCCAGGATTCCTGGGTTTTCCAGCGCGAGCTTTCGCTCCACGTGCTCCGATTTGGCGTGCGCTAACCCACTCGGCCACCGGTCCCCTTTGAACTATCCGTAGAATACCGTGCATCCGTCCATACCACATTAAGCACCCATACCCAAATTTGAAAAAAAAAAATATGCACAGTACATTTATATGTAGATTAAATGACCCGGACAAGCGCCCATCCCCCATTTTTTTTTTTTTTTTTTGTGATTATCTTAAAATTTTGAGTAGGCGCTTGCCCGGTATTTACGGTATCTCTTAAATATTTTTTTTTAAATCATAAAACTTTTTTACTAGTTAGTGCTAATACTAAACGCTTTGACATTAATAATCACATGGGACAGGAATCACGCTGCCTTTCCGCGCGTGTATAAAAACGAAAGTGCAATTACGAGCCTCACATTTCTTTTCCTCAACTGCCCGTTTTTCTTCCCACCATTTAAACAAGTATAAAAAACCAGAAGAAACAAACAAACAAACAAAAAATAAACGCTGGGGCCACTAGCTGCTTCAGAACACTGCGCATCACTGACAGCTTCCACTTCAAGGTCCTGTAATGGGGATATACCTATTTCGCAGAATTGTGAAGAATAATAGGGGGATCGGTGGCCGAGTGGGCTATAACGCACACCAGCTCGGAGCACGTGGAGCGAACGCTCGCGCTGCAGAACCCAGGGATCCTGGGCTCAATCCCCAACTCTGCCCGTTTCGATCTGGATAAGCGTCGTAACGGCGTGTGGTCGTGTATCACTACTGCATGGTGCACGTTAAAGACCCTAGGTTAGCGGTTGTACCGCACTGGCTAAATTGCTCAGCTACAGCTGGGAGACTCGTCGCCCGTCGAGGCGGACTAACCTATGGCTGTATAAACATACATACACAATTTGTTTTGTGAAGAATAATCAATGCGTTGTGCAGGGACCCCCCCCCCCCCCCCCCCCAACGTCTGAAAAGAATCATTTCACTTCAGGCGGAACTGCTTGCCACGGTAAAATTCAATATCATTTCCATTTTGAATGACATTAAATGATCGGCCAATCAGCGTGCGCCAGGACTGGTGCACGCTGATTGGCCAATCAGATTTGTCGTTGGCTT